TGAATCTAGGAGGCAGAGGTTGCAGTGAGCCGAGATTGGATCACTGCACTCCAGCCCGGGCAACAGAGTAAGACTGTCTCAAAAAAAAAAAAAAAAAAATTAATAGAAGAGTTATAATAAATACAGGCTTAGAAAAGAGTAAAGTCTCAAAGCAAGGTAAAGGGGCAATAACTTGTGTGAAGATGTGCATTGTTATTTCACACATGGCTAACATGTTACAAGTTGTTCTTTTGAATGGCCAGCTATCAATAATAACATGCTTAGCCAGTAAGTCAGAGCCCAGCAAGGGGGTTCTGTAGGTTTCCAGTTTTTCTGGATTGGTTTTTCTTCTAAGGGCTAAAAGGTTCTAATGAAGGTAGCCACTTCCAAAGTATTTACCTTTTACTTACCTAGCTAGTAAGCCAATTTTATCTGATGAGTCAAATTCTAGGGATATGCAAATGAATGTAAATACTTTTTTCTGCCACCACAGTTTTGATATTCAAATCCTAGTAGTTTTACATTTAAAAATATAATATTGGCCAGGCGCAGTTGCTCATGCCTGTAAGCCCAGCACTTTATGAGACCGAGGCAGGCGAATCACTTGAGGTCAGGAGTTCAAGACCAGCCTGGCCAACATGGTGAAACTCCGTCTCTACTAAAAATACATACAAAAAAATTAGCCAGGTGTGGTGGCAAGTGCCTGTAATCTCAGCTATTTGGGAGGCTGAGGCAGAAGAATCACTTAAACCCCGGAGGCGGAGGTTGCCTTGAGCAGAGATTGCGCCCCTGAACTCCAGCCTGGGCAACAGAGTGAGACTTCGCCTCAAAAAAAAAAAAAAGTAATACTGTCAATGTGCTAACGTTCTTCCAATTTGTCCAATATTAATCTACCGATGTTTAAGGTTTGTTAATGTTTCAATGCATAAAATTAACTAGGTATTAATCTTTTATTAAAAATACTTTATTGGCCAGGTGTGGTGGCTTATGCCTATAATTCCAGCACTTTGAGAGGCCGAGGCAGGCAGATCACCTAAGGTGGGCAGTTCAAGACCAGCCTGACCAACATGGAGAAACCCCGTCTCTACTAAAAATACAAAACTAGCCGGGTGTGGTGGCACATGCCTGTAATCCCAGCTACTCAGGAGGCTGAGGCAGGGGAATCGCTTGAACCCAGGAAGCAGAGGTTGTGGTGAGCCGAGATCACACCATTGCACTGCAGCCTGGACAACAAGAGCGAGACTCCATCTCAAAAAAAAAAAAAGAAAAGCTGGGCCTGATGGCTCACACCTCTAATCCAAGCACTTTGGGAGGCCTAGGCGGGCGGATCACAAGGTGGAGAGATAAAGACCATTCTGGCCAACATGGTGAAACCTTGTCTCTACGAAAAATACAAAAATTGGGTCAGGCGTGGTGGCTCACGCCTGTAATCCCAGCACTTTGGGAGGCCGAGGTGGGCGGATCACCTGAGGTCAGGAGTTTGAGACCAGCCTGACCAACATAGTGAAAACCTGTCTTTACTAAAAATGCAAAAATTAGCTGGGTGTGGTGGCATGCGCCTGTAATCCCAGCTATTCAGGAGACTGAGGCAGGAGAATCACTTGAACCTGGGTGGCGGAGGTTGCAGTGAGCCGAGATCGCACCACTGCCTTCCAGCCTGGGCGACAGAGTGAGACTGCATCTCAAAAAAAAA